GAGGCGTTAAAAAACACCATTCATATTCTCAATCAAGTACCAAGCAAGTCGGTGCCCAAAACACCATATGAGTTGTGGATAGAAAGGGAACTTAATCATTTACGTGTGTGGGGCTGTCCAGCTGAGGCTAAAGTATTTAATCCAAATATTAGGAAGCTAGACTCCAAGACAGTTAGTTGCCATTTCATTGGCTACCCAGATAAGTCAAAAGGTTATCGTTTCTACTGTCCTGACAGACATATGAAGTTTGTAGAAACAAGACACGCTGTGTTCTTGGAGGATGATATGGTCAGGGGGAGCATGGAAGCGCGAGAAATCAACTTTGAGGAGAAGCGGGTATACGTGCCCACTACGATGGTTCAGGAGCCATTTTTCTCGCTACCTGTTGCTGCTGCACCAACAATACATGACACTATTGTGACAACACCTGTTGTTAGTTCTCCCGTGGCAACAATAAATGAATATGAGGAACCTATCCTTCAGGATCCTATATAACCCGTTGTCGCACATGAGGAAGAGCAACAACAACCCTATATGGAGCAAGCGCCAACTAATGAGGCCCCCAAAAGGTCTCAAATAGCTAGAAAACCGGCCATTCCTGATGACTATGAAGTCTATGAATGTGAAAAATTTTAAATGGAGGGTGATCCCACCTCATTTGAAGAAGCCATGAGAAGCACTCACTCATCAAAGTGGCTTGAAGCCATACAAGATGAAATGAGATCAATGGGCACCAATGGTGTTTGGGAATTAGAAAGAATTCTTAAAGGAGCCAAGACAGTAGGCTGTAAATGGGTCTACAAAACTAAATATGACTCCAAAAGGAATGTTGAAAGATTTAAAGCGCAACTTGTGGCAAAAGGTTTTACGCAAAGAGAAAAATAGATTATAATGAGACATTTTCTCCAGTCTCATGTAAGGATTCTTTTAGAATCATAGTAGCATTAGTGGCGTATTACGATTTAGTATTACATCATATGGATATAAAGATGGCTTTCCTTAACGGGGATTTAGATGAGAATGTCTACATGGCACAACCAAAAGGTTTTGCCGTGAAAAAAAAGAACGTATGGGATGCCGCCGAAGAAATCCATTTATGGCTTAAAACAAGCCTCTAGACAGTGGTATTTAAAGTTTAATGGAATGATAAGAAAGTTTGGGTTTAAAGAGAATGTAGAGGACAATTGCATTTATATAAAGTTCAAGAATAGGAAATTCATTTTCCTAATCCTATATGTGGATGACATCTTACTTGTTAGTAGTGGTGTTAATCTACTACTAGAGACCAATAAATTCTTGTCCTCAAATTTTGACATGAAGGATCTCGGTGAAGCTTCGTTCGTTTTAGTAATAGAGAGTCGCCGAGATAGAAGAAAGGGGTTTTAGGATTATCGCAAAATGCATACTTAGAAAAGGTTCTAAAGAAATACAGTATGCATGCGTGTAAGCCTTCACCTGCTCCTATAGTCAAGGGCGATATTTCTGGAGAATTCCAATGTCCCAGGAACCAATATAAGATCGATCGAATGAAAGCAGTTTCATATGCTTCAACTGTAGGAAGCTTACAGTATGCTCAAGTATGTACACACCCTTACTTGGCTTTTGTTACCGGGATACTTGACAGATATCAGAGTAATCTAGGAATGGAACACTAGAGAATGGTAAAGAAAGCTTTGCGTTATTTGCAAGGCACAAAAGATCTCATGCTAACGTATAGAAGATCTGATTCTCTACATATAGAAGGGTATTTAGATTCAGATTTTGCGGGAGATGTAGATGATAGAAAATCCACATCAGGTTATGTATTTACTCTCGCAGGAGGAGCTATATCGTGGAAAAGCTACAAGCAAACCGTCGCTGCATCGTCCACGATGTATGTCGAGTTTGTAGCATGTTATGAGGCCACAGGACAGGTGAACTGGCTAAAGAAATTTATGTCCGGGTTGAAAGTGGTCGATGACATTCATAGGCCACTCAAGTTGTACTGCGATAATGAGCCAGCAGTATGTTATGCTCACAACAATAAGTTAAGTAGTGCTGCAAAATACATTGACATAAAGTTTTATATTGTGAAAGACAAAGTTCGGGATCATTCAATTAGTCTCGAGCATATAAGTACAAAGAAAATGCTTGCGGGTCCGCTTACAAAAGGCTTACCGCCCAATGTGTTTAAAGAACACTTAGCCGGCATGGGTTTACGGGAAAGCCTATGATTCCTGTACAATAAGGGTCTAGTTGAGAATCTATTTCAAAACAGAGAGGTGTGTTGTAGCTGTTAATCCAATGATACTAATTGTTGTGACAATGCATGCTCTATGCGCTAATCTGTGATGGAATGGAGAAAAGAGATAAGTCTTTTAAGTTTAAGTCATAAGGTGAGATCAAGGGAGGGAATGTTAGGTTGATCTCCACCAAGTTGGTCCAACGGCCAATTTGGGCTTTTGATCCGCACCCTGATCGGGGGCGCCCAACCCAATTATGGTTGGTGGGCCCCCGTCGTGCAGCGCTATAAAGAGAAAGGTGGAGGCCGGGGCGCTGAGTACGAGGTTCACCGCAGCCGCCACAAACCCCACCTACATTTCTAACCCTAATCCGAACTAAGAGGGCAGCGCTAAAGTGACGGGAAGCTCCACCACCGCCTCTGTGCCACCACTGCACTGCGACCGACCTCAACACCGTCACCACGACACCGCCGACCCGGACTGCATCACTTTCGCCATGGCTACATCGAGCTCTTCCTCCAAACCCGTGGATGGTCGGTGACATCTCACCTCTCTTCCTCTTTCTTCTCTTCTTTTAGATCTACCAGTTCTAGGTCCTATGTCTACGGTTTTGTTCACCAATATGGAAGTTTTACCCGCTCATCCACTCCTATGTGATCCTACTATTTTAACATGGAGCTCTTTGCGGGTGCCTATGCCTGATCACGCCGATCCGCTGCACCCAGCTGCAAGTAGACGCAGTACAGCAGGTGTTCCCTGCAAGGTCCAGGACTTTCCAACCAAGTACCCCTGTCGCTCTCCAGGATTAGCCGCTGTGAGGAGCAGCGGCTCGTCGACGCGGTGCCTGCACGCATACCGACATGGAAGGGTGGGCTAATGATTGATGCAGGGCGTGCAACCCTGACTCAGACAACACTCTTAGCTATTCCGGTGCACATATCCATCTGTTGCTGTCTCTCGGCCTGGGCCATCGGCGAGATTGACAAACGGCGTCGTGCATTCCTTTGGGCTGGCACCGACACGGTCTCCGGTGGGCGATGCAAGATTGCCTGGCCGATCGTGTGCGCACCCAAAGAACACGGGGGACTGGGGAATCCCTGATCTCAGGATCCTCAGGTATGCGCTGCGTTTGAGATGGGAATGGTTGCGCAGGACCGAGCCAGATTCAGCCTGGGCGCGGCTGCCATCCTCTCCTAAACGCAGCGTTTCCTCGATGTTCAGTTCATCAGTCACCGTCCAGCTTGGTGACGGTGTCTCCACGCGGTTCTGGACTGATGCTTGGCTACCTAACGGGGCGATCTCCTCCTTTGCTCCCAACCTCTTCAAAGCTGTCGGCCGCCGGCGACTCGGTCGGACAGTAAAGGACGCCCTGACTAATCGCCGTTGGGTGCGCGACATCTCCGGCGCTCCAACAGCTCCTGTCCTCTATGAATACGCAGACCTCTGGGTGAAGCTCGAGAACATACAGCTGCAACCTTTGGAGCCCGACCGTTTTGTCTGGCGTTGGTCGGCTAACGGTCAGTACTCAGTTTCCTCGGCGTACAAAGCTTACTTCATTGGCTGGACGAACATGGCGGGAGCCAGAGAGCTTTGGCGTGCTGCAGTGCCACCAAAGGTGAAGTTTTTCTTCTGGCTGGCCTTGCACGGACGTCTTTGGACGGCGGAGCGCAGAAAACGCCATGGCCTTCAGCTGCAGGCTGCCTGCGCCTTGAGCGATCAGCACGATGAAACAACGGATCACCTCTTGTGCTCGTGCGTATATGCGCGCGAGGTTTGGTTCCGTTTGTTACAGCCCTTCGGCTTCCATGGCGCCGCTCCACAGCAGACTTGAACCTTGCTTGACTGGTGGCAGCTGGGAAGGACATCCCTGCCACAGGCCCTCAGGAGGAGCTTCGACTCCATGGTGTTGCTCGCCACTTGGTGCCTGTGGAAGGAACGCAACCGTCGAACTTTCGATCGCAGGTCAAGGACGCCATCTGAATTACTCTCCATCATCATGGAGGAAGCTGACGCCTGGATCGGTGCTGGTTTTGGCAGCCTGGCGTTGCTCACCGCTCAGGCCACCTGATCAGCGTGGGGACTGGGGAGCCCTTACCGTCTACGTCGCACAATTGGTTCTTTAATTAGTACACCCTTGTCTCTCCATCACTAGATGGTGATTCGTGTTCTGTGTTTTCTCCAAGTCGAGTACGGCTCCTCGCCGTGACTCGCTATGGAGGTTGTAAACTTTCTCGCTTCTACTTAATGAAGCACATGCTAATGCACGCTTTCGAAAAAAAAATCCTTAGGGCGAGCTCAACACTCCAACATGGCTGATGGCTTTATCCCTACCCACTTGACATAAGGTTCAATAAAAATAGTTGTTTGCAGACTTGCCGGATTGTTTTACACAAGGTGTGGTAGCCTAGCTGCAACAAACAAGCATTGCATGCTGTATGAGAGGGAAAAAGGTAAGGTTGAAAGTGATTTAGAGTACGACCAATGCAGACCAATGATAATAGTAGTGGTTCCAGTACAAATGAAACAGTTCACTATTCACACAATGCAAACCACCAAAGTCATTTCCACTAGTGGTCTCCACCATGCTTCCCTCTTCTCACCACATGTCATTTTCTTCTTTTCTTGCATGGACCACATTCTCTCTAAGTACATGTAACTTCTATAAGTGATTTTTTTTATAAGTCGACAGGGGAGAAAGTCCCCCACCTGGAATTTCATCCATAAGTGGCCCTTAAATATCAGTTTTCGTTTACATTTTGGTGTTGCTGTCACATTGCACTAGCGATTAATGAACACCAGGCGGTAGCAACTTCCGTCTCTGCACGTGGTAGCCGTGCACCCCACAGATACAGCCATATAGTTGCTGGAAGCGAAGTTCTGTCTGAGTTGAAGACTATGCCGTTTCTTCTCTTCCAGATGTGCCAGCAACAGAGCAGAACAAATGTGCTGAAGAACTTGCTCGGTATATGTTCAGGTGGCTGTATATCTTTGATTGCTTGCACCGGCCAGTCGGCATTTGTGGGGATCTGCAAGGCATTCCAGAACTCTTGTTCCTTTGGGCAGCCGAACAGGATATGTGCTGTTGTCTCTTCAGGTGCTTGGCAGGCTTCACATACCGTGTCGTTGACAATGTTTTTCTTCATCAAGTTTGTTTTGCATTTGATTCTCTCCTGGGAGAGCAGCCAGGCGAAGAACTTTGCTCTTGGCCGCGCTATGTTCTTCCAGACAAAGGTTGTCCAGGCATCCGGTGTGGAGTGCTCACTCTTGAGGGCTCTGTATAGCATGGTGGTGTCGAGGTCTCCAGTTGTTTTCATCATCGGACTACGTCTTTGGTCTTTCCCATCTGTGAGTACATGCTGTGCCATGATTTGTGTAACCTGGATTAGTTGCTCGGCTGCTTGTGTTGATTGCCGCCTGGTCAGTGAGCGCTAAAGCTCTCCGTCAAAAGCTTGCCTGACTGTGATTTTGTTCTTTTGGCAGTGAGTAAAGAGCTCTGGGAATCTCTCGGCAATGCTATCATGGCCGTCCCAAACATCGTGCCAGAAGGACGTTGTGGTTCCATCTGCTAGGATCACCGTGGTGATTGCACGGTAGATGGGCAGCAAGGATATCAAAGTGTCCCAGTGATTGCCGTTGATGTTTCCGGTGAGTGAGGCAATGCAAGCGTTCCGTTGAACCCATCTTGCCCAGGATGACGATGGACTGTTGGAGTGTAGCTTGTGTATCATTTTCAGCAATAGGCAAGTGTTTTGTATTCCAAAATCTTTGAGGCCAAGGCCGCCAAGCTCCTTCGTGTCACATACATGTGTCCATGCCACCATACTTTTGCCACCAATCGAAGTGCCCGAGCCGGACTAGAGAAATGATCGCCGCTTCCGATCAACTTGCTCAATAATTCCTGGAGGGATCTCTAGGGCAGCCATGGCGTATATGAGTTGACTATCCAGAACCGAGTTTATCAGTGTTGCACGGCCCATCTGATTGAGAAGAGAGGCTTGCCATCCCGCCAGATACTTATCACACTTAGCAATGTTCGGCGCAAAGGCAGAAAGGCGCAGCTTTGTATTCGATAATGGCAGCCCAAGGTATGTTTGGGGAAACCCCTCTCGGCGAGACCCCAGAGCAGAAATGCAGCCCTCAATAGTGCTTTCATCCATGAACATAGGAACAGCTGTACTCTTTGCATAATTTATCTGCAGCCCTATTGCATTTGCAGAATGGTCAAGGATTACTCTTAGGCTTTGGACGTCGGTGAGCTCCCCTCTGACTAGTATCAATGTGTCATCCGCATATTGTAGCACGAGACAGCTTGTGTTGTCGACCATGGGGTGTCTTATTGTCCCGGATTTCCTTATCAGCACTTGGAGTACATCAGCCACCAGTATGAATAGGTACGGCGATATAGGATCACCCTGCCTTAATCCTCTCCGGCAGTCCATCCATGGCCCGGGGCAGCCATTAACCAAGATTGCCGTGTGTGATGACTGAAGGATCTGTTGCATCCATCTTCGCCAGACATCGTTGAACCCCCTTGCCTGAAGGATAGTGTCCAGAGCATCCCAGTTAACTGTGTCAAAGGCCTTTGCAAAGTCTAGTTTGATCACCAATGTGGGAACTCTTCTTTTGTGAGAGCACTGAACCAATTCCATTGCATATACAAAATTCTCAGTGATAGATCTCCCCCTTATGAATCCTGTCTGATCAAGGTCAACCAGATTATGAATCTGTAGCTGTAGCCTTGTTGTCAGTAGTTTGGACAGAATTTTAACACTGCAGTTCTGAAGACATATTGGTCTGTAGGCATCAACTGTGGTGGCATCAGTCTTCTTTGGGATAAGCACTATGTAAGACCTGTTGATTCTCTCCAGCTGTACATTTCCCTCATGGAAAGCATTCAAGAATTGCATGACACTTACTTTAACTGTCGGCCATGTAGCATTATAAAACCCAGGGCCGAAGCCATCAGGCCCAGGCGCACTTGATCTGTTCATTGCCTTGATCGCTTGCAATGCTTCATTCTCAGTGAAAGGCAGAGTGATGTCTTCGTTTGCTTTGGGAAGGCCTTGGTACAGGAGATGACAGTCGAAGTGCCAGCTAGTGTTCCCCGGGTTACCCATGATGCCTCTGAAATGTTCGGTGATGGCTTGTGCCTTGACTGTGTGGTATTTGTACCCCATCCACGGCAATGCTTCTGATTTTGTTCTTGCGCATCCTCACTGTTGCCTGAGCATGGAAGAAGGCCGTGTTGCTGTCACCCTCTTTCATGGCTCTGAATTTTGCTCGTTGTTTCCGGTAGGCCGCCCGCTGCCGGAGCTCAAGAGCAAGTCTGTCATAGCTCAACTGGCGCACCTGCAACTCATCTGCAGAGAGGCAGCGGTCTTCTTCTTCTTTTTAGATAATGAAAAATTTCCGGCTTCAGCCTTCTTCGAAGAAGAAGCAGCGGTCCAAATTTATTATAGTAGCACATCCATAATTAAAATTTATTATAGGTTCAGAACTAAAGTTCAAGACGGTAAACGAAGGACTATCCATACGATGCGAAGAACTCCATGGCTCTCGATTCTAGTAGCTTGCAAGCGTCAAGAATATGTTCCTTGTCGTCATCCGAGCGCTGCAACAGAGCCCAAAATCGTAACCAGTGTGTCCCCTTGAAAAGAAACTGCAAAAAAGTTTTTGGACGATCTTTATAAAAAAAACCACTTCGTTCCTTGTGATCCATATTGCCCAGCAAAATGCCGCAGCCCAAGCCAATAAAAGATGATTATGATTGAAACCTCATAGCTTTGACCAACTATTGAAAAGATGGTTCGTGTTCCTTGAAGGAATAATGCCAAACAGAACAAACACAGCACGTCAAAGAAATATGGTATAATCGCAATAAAAAAACAAGTGTTAGATAGTTTGAGGTGTGCTAAAAAAACAAGCCTTACTACCATTCCAATTCCTTTTAGCAAGTTTGTCTTTTGTCAGTATCACCCCTTCTTTAAGAACCAAAGAAAAATCTTAATCTTCAAGAGCACTTTCATATGCCAAATTTCTTAGGTAACCTTAATCCCATTATTGAGTAGGTATTTGTACATGGATTTAATAGAAAACAAGCCATTATTATTTAAGTTCCAGTTGAAAGTATCTCGACCCTCATTTAAGTTAATAAAAGCAACTCTCGCAACTAGACTTTGCCATTCCAACAACGTAGTTCCCAACTAGCGCCCTTCTATAAGACACATTGAGAGGGGTGGAATTAAGTACATAAGCCATTGTTGTTTGTTTCTTACGCACAATATTAAATAAATTCGGGTATTGTATTTTCAAGGATTGGGAGCCCAACCATTTATCTTCTAAAAATCTAATTTGAGTTCCATTGTCTAGTTTAAACTTCCCAAGACTTAAGAAAATGTCTTTGACTCCCAACAAACCATTCCAAAAATGGGAAAACCTGTTTTTCTTTTCAATTTGACTTAGAGTCTTGTTCTTTAGGTACTTGTTCCTTAATTACTCCTGCCAAGTGCCCTCCTCATTGCAAAGTTTGAAAAGCCATTTGCTCAAAAGACACTTATTTTGTAAATCTAGATTTTGAATTCCTAAACCACCTTGCTTTTTTGGTTGGCACAAAATATTCCACTTTGCCAGTCTATATTTCTTTTTGTGATCATTTTGCCAAAAAAATCTTGATCTAAAATATTCAATCTTTTTTAGAACACCTCTAAGGACTTCAAAAGAAAGACATCATGAACATAGATAAGCTTTCTTCTTCTATGGTGTCAAATAGTAAAGTTAGGAACTTGCAATTTTGAATGATAGCGGGGGGCTCCCTGTTGCGCCGTGACCAAACCTTTGCTGCGGCCCTGACCGATTTGAGCCGAGCAGTGAGCCTGCCAGCAGCGTCGCTGCATGCCGGAGCCTGATGCCAAGCCGGGAGGTCAGAAGGGAGGAAGGAGGAGTTGAGCAACCAAGCGTTCTCAAATCTGAATAGATTAGACTTCGGAATTTCAGTAGATAGAGATGCGAGAATAGGGACATGGTCAGAGGTCGGTCTGGTTATACCAAGGAGGATGGCGTTAGGGAAAAGTTGGCCAAGATGAACATTGTGGGAGATCTTGTCCAGGCGAGCGAGAGTTGGGATGGCGCGTTTGTTGGACCAGGTAAACAGGCAGCCCGAAAGGGGGAGCTCCATAAGGCCCATGGCGCTGATTGTATTATTGAAATAGTTGATAAGCTGATTATTGGCAATTGTAGTGTTTTTGTCGGAGCTAGAGCGAATGAGGTTGAAATCGCCGGCCAAAAATCAAGGACCCGTTTGGGTTTGGGAGAGCTCGAGGAGCTATGACAGGAAGGCCGACGAGTCACGGTGGTTAGCAAGGGCGTAGACATTGGTCACCGAGAAGCAGTGGTCGGAGATGGTGGTTAGAGTGAGGTCGAAAGACAGTAGGAGTTAGGAGTGGAGGAGGAGAGGAGGGAGAAGACGTTGGGGTCCCAAGCGGTCAGCATTCCGCCACGAGCACTAGAGGCGTTAAGGGTGACCAAGTTATTGGCAAGATTAGGAGGGAGGAAGGTGGCTGCCTTGAACCGATTGCAATCAACTAGTTTGGTTTCTTGAATGCAAAGAATAGACGGGTTTGCCTATCTAATAGCATCGCGAACGATCGTGCATTTGTCTACGTCGCCAAACCTGCGTACATATTCCATGACAGCAAAAAAAAGTTTTTTGACCCAGATGACATTAAAGAACACAGGTACACCCAATCTCCGTGCGAACCGAAATGCGTAGTGGAGTCCAAATCTAAACCGACGATGACAAGGATCCAAGGGTAGTCAACCAAGGTCGACCAACCAACAGACTAGGACTCAAAGATAAAAGTAAACAAATGGGGATTTAACAGGGGGTGAAAGTGACGCACTAAACTTAAGACTCCAAACCAGAACACGCACAACACTGAAACAGGCACACTTGAACACATGCTAAGTGTCGTGTGAGGGCCTGGGGGACACTGGGGACACCGGGTGTCGTGGGGTCAAAACCACGACAAGCATGTTGTTCGAGTCAGTGTCAGAGTATGGGGTCTCCGGTGGCTCGGGTGGACTCAGGAACACAAGAATCATGTAGAGAAGATGCAACAGTTTATCCTAGTTCGGGCCAATTCGGTTCCTACGTCCAGTAGCTGATGATCCTTATACTCAAGAGCACCCAAAATCTAGGGGATACAACAGAGTGTAAAGGAAGAGTTTGGTAGGGGGTTAGCTCGGTGCTAATCCTAAGGTTGCCTCACCGCCGGTGGAGTCTCCCCCTCGTCGGAGAGGAAGGAGACGGCGGGATGCGGTGGAGGAGAGGCTCTCAGTGCCCCCCTCCATGTTGCCTTGCTCTCGGTGCAGAGCAAAGGCATATGGAATGGAATGGAGTGTCTGGTGATCGAACTCGCATCCTCCCTCCTCTAGGTCCGACCTTATCCCTTATATAACAAGATAGGTTGGGTACAAGGTGGTTTGGGAGTTCTAGTTTATGGTCTACGTGCGCTGGAGTTTAGGTGGGGCTTGCAGCGGTGCGCCATGGACCATCGAGGTGTCTTAGAACCAAAGAAGCCTGGGCGTCGTTTGGCTGCTATGTTCTAACACTGCATGTCAGAGGGTGTCAGCTTGGACCGGCCTCCCCCAGGTGAGACCTTCTAGAGTCTTCTTGGCGGTGAAGGAGGTCAGCTTCGGGGGCTGACGCGCGGGCTCAGAAGCCCCCGAGCCCCCAGAGGTCGTGGGAAGCATTGTCTTCTTGTGTCATGCCCCGGACATGACCCTATCGGAGGAGCAGTTGGTAGGGGCACGCCTAGGGAGCGATGCCAGGGAGCCCCCGGGCATTGGTAGCCTAGGGCTTGTCTTCTTGTGCCTGGGCCTTGGCTGGCATCGTTAGTCAGGCAAGAGCCAAGGACCGGGCTCGGTCGTGCCATAGATCGGGAGCCTAGGGCTCGGGGAAGCCCCCGAGCCCTAGGCGGAAGCTGTGGTCGAGTCAGGCTTGGCCGGGTCTCTTTGCTAGAGGGTTCATGCGAGCGTGCCTGATGGGCATAGCCCCTGATCCCCCAGCCGATCCTGTAGCGGTCGGTCAGGGGGTCTTCTTCGTTCAAGAACCATTGGACCTGAGGCTTAACATACCTATATGTTAGGATGTCATCAAGAGCCCCCGAGCCCTTCATGGCCTCACCTAGCGTGATGGCGACGAAGGGCAAAATTCGATCTTCTCGTGACCAAACCCTCTGAAAGCATCTAGGCCCCTAGTTGGGTTTCGGTGATTAATGACAATACGTGATTACTGTGACTAACATGTGTTTTGCAGATGCAATTAAGTTAGGTCACGGTAATGGCAATTGATTGGGCAATCATGGTTGTCAAGCCCCTACGATGGAAATCGTTTCGGTTTTCAAAGGATGGACGACAAGGTTAAGGCCCTGTTTGGTTGGGCTGTGGCTGTGGGAAAAAGCTGCTGTGGGCTGTGAGCTGTGGAAAAGCTGCTGTGGGCTGTGAGCTATAGAAAAGCTGAAAGCTGTTTGTTTAAACAAGTATAAAATATACCTTTTATCTTTATCTCTCTTGAAACAACTATGGAAGAGCTTTTTATTCCACCAATTTTGAAAAGCAGAAAGCCAAAAGCCAAAAGCAGGGTCAAACCAGCTTTCAAAAATGAACTACGGAAAAGCAGCTGCTTCTGAAAAAGCACCCTCCAAAAGCAGCCTCTTTGGTTGGGCTTTTGGCTTTTGGGGCCAAAAGCCAAAGCCAAAAGCCCAACCAAACAGGGCCTAAGGATGGACTAGTTCTAAGTGTCGTTTGGTGTTGAAGAGACACTTAGAGTAGTTTAGGACTTTGTTTTTCCTTTGGCCATACTATTAAGGGGGTTATGGACGGATAGCTTGACCTAGGTGAGTCTAGTGGGTTAGATGTGGTGTACACTTGTCAAATCTACCACTAGGTAGCTCCTAAATAGCCCTTAGATCAATTGGAGCAAACTTCATTCACATATGATTGTGAGTTGGAAGTGAATGGAGGGTCAAATGTTGACCGGATGCTGGTTCCAGTGTGACCGAACACTGGCGTAGAGTCCGGTCAGTTCATTTGATCAAGGTGAAGTCGTCTAGATGTGACCGGACGCTGAGTGAAATCTGACCGGACGCTAGGTGCCAGAGTCCGGTCAACTCCAGTA